TAATAGTCAAAATTTGTTATTGTGGTACGATTACTTCAATCGGCCGTCGAGCGGATCTCTACCCAAATTAGCATCGGCAACCTCGATAGTCACATGCCCGCACATTTTTCTTTGCCATGACTTTGATAAGTGATATGTTTCGCAGTTATAATTATTTCCAGATTGAATTTTTATTAATTTGTTATAGTCACTCGATTTGTACATTTACACGTTATTTACTATTTACTATGGCACTTGTATTACCTGAACTATTAACGAAAATTTTTAAATTCTTAGCTGAAGATAAGGCGTTATATCCTGCCTTATTCGTTTCTAGACTCTGGTCTATGTGTTCCGGCTCAATTTTATGGCGTCGCATCGAATTGATAGGGGATGGGGGTGCCTTTGGCGAGAAATATGAAATACAATTGAAAAAGTTTTTAAAGATAGTACGCAAAAATTCAAGACTAACTTATGGCTCAAGTGTACGTTATCTCAAAATTTCACACTATCATAAACTCTCAAATAAGATACTTGGGAAATTCATCGAAATATTTCCAAATATAATCCATCTTGATTTTAAACGAAGTTATGGATACGATGATACAGCATTATTCAAGATTTCTCGAGCATATCCTAACTTAATTCATCTTAATGTTTTTAACAACGGGGGGTTAACTGATCATTCTATTATCGAACTCGCAAGTAGATGTTCTAAATTACAGTATTTGGAAATTAGTTGGGGCGGAAACATTACCGACAAGTCTATCTATGAAATTGCGAGATCTTGCTACTGCTTAAGGCATCTAGGAATAAGCGGAGGTAAAAGTTGTATTTCTGATAAATCTATACGCGAAATTACACGATTCAATCCCAATATCCAATCTTTAAATTTTAATAACTGCGAGAAGCTTACCGATGCCACAATCCATGCTCTTGTAGATTCGTACCCGGATCTAAGAAAATTAGATCTTAGAGATTGCAATAAAGTAACTGACATAGGTATCAGACAAATCGCACAATGTCTTAATCTGGAACATCTTGCACTCAATTCCCTGGGATTTATTAATGATGAAACGATATGTATTATTGCGCAATCATGTCCAAACATTTCTTATTTCAACCTCGAATTTTGTCACGTTACAGATACAGCGGTAGAAGCGATAGCACAATCATGTCACCGTTTGGAATATCTCAATATTTACGGGTCGAAATCTATTAATGATTCATCCATTTCCAAAATAGCTAAAAATTGCTCTTATATCCAAGAACTTGAACTGGGGTATTGCGGGCTTATCACTGATACAGCCATCAAAGATATCGCTCAGAATTTATCCGATCTAAAATATCTCGGGTTAAAATATTGTGTAAATATCAGCAAAGAGGCATTAGATATGTTAGACCCAGATTTAGATATAGGTGGATATTATACGATTCCATCCACTTTATAATCGGTATAACGCTTTAAACGCATTGCTATTATGATCTATACCTTCTTTTTGAGCCAGTACTTTTAAGTTCTCGAAATAACCCCGTGCACATTGACCAGATATAATTTTCATCGTGACGTTTTGTTATAACTATATATTTAATTCTGCATTTTTAAATTCGTATTAATAAATAATAATTTGCATTTACAATGACTGAAGCTAATAGCAAGTCTGTGACAAACGAAGCAATTGTTAAAGATAATATCAGCAGAGCTGACATGGCCAATGCTATCTTGTCTCAAGAATTACGTGAATGTATCAAAACAGTAACCAAGTCTTTAACAGAGCAACAGAATACTATTGGAGTAATATGTATTCGTAGGCAAATATTGGATAAAAAAATCCGGATTTCTCTTCACCAATTACTGGAGATAGTAAAACCCGAGGTTCAGCAGGAACTTATAAACTCGTTAGCAAACCCCGATATTTCTCGAAGAAATCGTACACCATACAAGGCTAAAAGAAAAAAGAGATTTTTAAATAATACTGCATCTGAGTTCTCATCTAGCTCTGAATCTGGTTCCGATTCTGAATCGTCCAATGATGATGAAGATTTTACTGTGAATGTGGTGAAAGCAAAGAAGCGTGATTAGTTCTCATCATCAGAAATTTCTCCGTATAGGTCAATGATATCCGATACTTCATCATATCCTTGTTTAATCATTGGTGCTGGAGTATTTGGTCTGTCATTCATTACACCATAATGTTCAACCGATGAAGCATGACCTATTTTATGCCTACATGCCAATTGCCGTAAATATTGACGGCGGGAATCATTCCTACCTCCATGTACTCTGGAAGCATGATCAGCTCCTATTTTTCTTAATATAAATGAGGTAATTCTATGGCAACTTAGGAATTGATTAAGAGGTGCAACATTAGTATTTCCATCCTTATCTTTTAACAAGAAGGAAAATTTATCCGGTATTGATCTCTGAATCCAGATAAGTAATTCTCTTGCTCGTATTGGATTTTTTTCCATTGAAAGGAATGGTCGAGGTTCTTCTACTTCACCTTTATTTTTTGCATAACCAATGCAGTACCAAGAATAGTCAGGATTATACCATGACTCACGACTTGGTTTGTATCGATTGATACGAAGATTTTTCACATCTGCCGATCGCATACATAGCATTATCATTATGTCTATTAGATTTTGCATTGAAGGAGGCTTGGTAATATTACATTCGTTAAGTCTTTCCTGAACTTTTTCCAGGTAAAAGAACTCGGGACAATCATAGCCATTAATTCCACGAAGTATACGCTTTCTTGCTTGAATCTGATTTGCTTCTTCAGTAATAAAGGGTATTTTCGTTGCCTCAGTGATGGGATAGTCAGCTCCTAAGCTACGCAATTTTTTCCGTAATAAATTAAGACGAGAATTTCCAGCAACAGTAGTAGGAGCGGAAGAAGCCAAGTCGTATGCTATTCCATTTATCTCTTCAGGTGAGAGATTGTTTTTTATAATATCTTGTGCAATAACCTTGATGGGATCTCTTTCCACAACATGCCTTCCAGGTGCTCGAATGGGGATAAGAGTATCAGCTTGCTCCTTACTTAATCCCAACTCTTGAAAGCGTCTTTTAGCTTGATCTCTGGCTTTTCGGGCTTGCTCTTTTGTTTTACCATCTGAAAGTTTACTAGCCAACTCTTCGGCATAACTACTAAGCTGGGGTAAACTAGTCTGTGGTGTCAATTGGTAGCGATTTACAAACAATGTAGCGATTTTTGCCATGGTTAGTATATGTTGGTTGATATGATTGAGATGTTTTATATAGACTACTTCCGTCTGATATATACTATGGAGATTCTTTTTTCAAATCGAAATTAATTAGTATAGCTATACCAAAAATTGAATGGGTGGTGATTAATGTAATTCTATCGGAAAATGGACGCGAATAAGACACGGAATAGATTAAAGATTTTAGAATCCATAACTTTACGTAATAAAATTACTAAAAATATCAATGGGATCAAAGAGGATATAGCATTACTCAAAGAGGTCCTGGAAAAAATAATCGATATATGTCAAGCATATGATTATAGTTCATGTCTATAATCGGGTAAGTCAGGTATATGATTCTCAAACATAGCAATTTGTATATGCAATTCATCCTGCTTTTTTCTGTGATAATTCTCTTTACTTTTATATTTGCCTACATGTTTATTGCATGCATTATATTTAGACCTATTTGACTCACCACAATCTCTACAAGGAGTAGGTATTGGAGAATTACGATGAATATAACATCTTTCTGATTTACTACGTCGACCACAGATTTTTCCAGTTCTATGAATATATGAGCAATGGTATAATATCATCGTGATTATATATAATAATTACTTCAATCAAATATATATTTTTCTTGACAAAGGTGATAGCAAACCCGAGACAAAAATCTCACTTCGAAATAATTAATTTTATTTTAAAGATTTATCTATCGATTATTATAATTTCAAAAACATATACTTTTTGTCAAATCAAACAACGCGCATATACAAACAACACATATATACAAATTAATAAAATGAGTTTGTCTAGTGGAGCAAAAAAACGTCTTCATGAATCGTTACAGCAACAGCGCTTAAATCAGAAGTCAGCCGAATATAATGAAGCAAAAAGGCTTTTTATGGGTTTAACGGGTCTTGACTATAAACCTGGCCATAGAGAACATACATTTTATAAATACTGGCTTGCATCCAGGCCCGAAGGGGCGACCCTAAAGGGTCATGGTCATACCAGCTCTTCCGATAGAAACGATACTGCGCTTTTAGATGCATATCAACCTGAAGAGATTCATTCTCAATATATAATTCGGATGGCAGGAAAAGGTTATACAGTGATCGATCATCCCTCTGAAGTTTATAGAATACCTGATACCCACGAATGTATTGATACGAACCAACCCCTACGCTTAATTATTGATATTGATGCAAGACAAAAACCTGATCCAAATAATCCTAAACATGATTCTTTAGATAGTGAAAAAATCACCCGAGAAGATTTGATATCTCGAATTTTAGTCGCTTGTGCAGATACATTATATGCCACATTGGGTTGCATGGTATCATTAAATAACTTTGTTTTGGCAAGTTTATCAAATGCTGAGAAATGTAGTTGGCATATTATTTATCCTCGTGCCCGATTTGTTGATTATCGAGACCTTAAAGGTTTTGTGGAAAAAGTCATTGAATCAGTTGGGGAACCCTATTCCAAATTTATTGATATTGGACTTTACAAATCCCACTTTAATCTTCGGCTTCTTGGATCGGCAAAAGAAGGACGTATCAAAAGACCAGCTATTTCCTCCGTTAAAAATGGATTTCAAAAATTAGAAGATTATTTGGTTCAACCAAAATCGGATTATTCTGAAATCTGGCCACGAACCTTTTCTTCTGAAGAACCAGTAAAACAAGAATCCCAGCCTATTAATGATGAAAATGCTTTGAGTAGAGGAGCTAATCTAGCTATTGAAAAATATGGGTGGCTTCAGATTGGAAAAATTTGGAATGGTTTTATTAATTTTCAAGCATAATCTGTTAAAGAATGTCCTATATGTGACGTTAAACATAATAAGGATCAACTCTACGGATTTATTCGAAAAAATGGAGATTTCGTACTTAAATGTTATCGCCAAAAACAATATAAGCCGGAGCATAAGGGGCTGAGCTTTGGTAAGGTATCAGATAAAGTTGAATCAGATGAAAAACCTAAGAAGTGGGGGTTACGTGAAAGATTACCCAAGGCTGTAAAGCATCCACGCCCACTTGTAGATTTATCTGGAAATAATATTAATGTTAAGGAA